ATTACTTCAGTACCTCACAATAATATACTTACTGTTTATTATTTTTTCTGAGCTCCTGTGATTATCACCTTCAACTTATCAGAACCATGACATATGTGTAGTAAAATGTATTTATATGTAAGTATTGGGTGTAAGTAGGAATGCATGTATATGTGCATGCATTTATAGATGTAGATATTCTGTGCATGTGTGCAAATGTGTATGTAGTATTGATGTATATGTGTATTCTCATGTATTTGTTTGTATTGTTATGATACATTTTCCTTCCTAAAGCAAAATAAAATTAACTGGGTTGTTCAAGTTTCTTTTTATGCACAACGTAAAAGCTGTGTTTTGGGTATTCAGGAAAAAGAACGTGAAGAAAGTGTTCCACACCAAACTGAACCATTGGTATTCTTGTTGTGGTTGCTGGTTAAACACAAGTCTAAAAAAGCCATTAAGCTACTGCTATTGAGATTTGTGCAATTGTGCATTATGTATATGCACATGATTGGGCATGGAGACTCTTTATGCCCTGGATAAATCAGACTGACCATATGCAGCATAAGGACCTGATAGTCCTTAACTATCCACCATAATTACCATGACAGAATCACTTAGGATTCTGCCTCATCTCACAGCTGTACAGGCATAAACACCTCTAAGGAATCTTGCAGTAGATATAGCTCCATATGAACCAAAATAAACACACCAAAAAAAAAAACCCACAAATTAAAAGGATGATGTTTGAAGACTGGACGGGATTAGGTTAATTAATCATAGACTTTACAGGGAAGTCAAACACATTGGTGCCTCTGTCCTTAAATAAAATGTTTCTAGGACATAAACAGACTTTAGTAGGCATAACAACAAACCAAAAGTTAGAAATGAGGTTTTAGAAGAACCTGTTTGAAAAGACTGTTTTTTAGAGAGATAGTTGAGCACAGAGATATTCTCTGTGCTCGACTATTTATAACATTTGCTTCCTCTAAATGGAAGAATACTAAAAATCTTGTTATTCAATGGCTTTTTTTTGGCATATTTGATGGTATTATTTCCCTGTTTTTACACTTGATTTGTGTGTAATAAAGACTGAGAGATGGGAAAAAAATAAACAGAAAATCATTAAAAGCAGAGAAATCTCCAGCTCATAAATCAGTGGTGGGTGTTCCAGCTGAGGTAGCTCAATAAGCTTTCCCTTAAACATTGGCCCATGGTAATGGGAATATCTCGGGGTCAATCGGGGTTACGCAGTCTTCCTCGACAGGAAATGAGCTTTTGGTGGGCTGTGTTCCCAAGGTAATGAACAATGTGTGTGTGTTTAATCTTAGCTAATATTGTTATAATAACCAGATAAATTATTAAAAACAAGCAAATGGCAACACTCTAATGACCACCAGTGTCACTTGATTTTGTTGTGCTATTTCACAATTATTTATACAAAACTTCAGCTTCATCTTGCAACTGAGTTGTCTGTTTTTTGGTGGTGGTGATGATGCCTGACAAGATTAAAGGTCAGATGATGCTACTTCTGGGTAAACTTCCTTACCTCCTCCCAATGAAATGTAATTTTCTCATCCATCCTGACAACTTGTAACACAAGTTATTGGGACAGTGCAGGTGTATTATTTTGGTATTTTTCATCCACTGTTAGGTCATTATTGCTTAAAATCTGCCATAAAGCAGCTTTAGTGATGGTGGCTGGGGTGAGAAGAGGGGGGCAGGAAATATATGTCCTACTATGCAAATTTATTCAAAAGCGCTCCATATTGTAAAACAACGATGCGCCTGGCATGAGTGGTCTATGTGGGACAAAAAGTTTGTCATCAAAGTATTTTAATATTCAGCAGAAGCTATCTTTAAGGGTTTCTAGATTTCCAGATATATTAATGAAGCAGGAGAAACTGTAAAGGGGGAAGTTTTGTCACCACCCCAATATACAGTCTGGATATTCAGTCCTGAAATCACGGAACAAAATGCATCAAATAAATACTTTATTCATGTTGAGCTGCTTTCTCCCCTCCATTTTGATCACGTCATTCCCGCTGGAAAATTGCAATTAAGTTTGGAGAGATAAAACATGCCAATTACTCTACATTTCAAGGCTTGATTGGCCTATCAGCTAGTCAGTATGCTGCCATGGTTTTCATCACTGTTAATTGATCCTTTCTTTAATTAATCTGGAAAGGAAAGCCCATATCTCTATCCTGTCTGATCGTCCCCTCTGTCTGTCATAACACAATAAAAGGCCTTATCCTGCAGCTAGTTACTCTGTCTTAGCTTCTCTTTCTGGCTCACTGCCAGATGCACTATTTATGGCACACCTATCTAACTACAAGTCGGCTGTGCGGAGTTCACTGGCTTGGGGTTCATTAAAAGTGCTCCACTCGGCTACTTCTGATTTGCATGCACTGGCACCTTGCTTTTAATATGGATGTGAAGGTTAGCATGAGGCCATGGCACTTTCTAAATTTCTGTTGTCCGACTGTATCACGACGGTGACATTTTGCACGTTTTCTATCTAATTAAACTGAATGCCGTTATTTGTCCCTGTTTATCTGCTGCTATTAAATATCCTATTTTTAATAAGTTTGGTCCAATTGCTAATTTATTAACTGAGTATCTAATTTGCATACACTTGGGCAAGATGTCTATATCAACTCTCATTGGGAATATAGTTTTATATTACAATGATGCATTTGTGACTCTGACATGGATTTGCTGCTGTGTTTTGAATAACTCTTTTACAGCAAAACCCAAGTGTATTTAAACCTAATATTTGGAACTGTTTGCCGAACATTCTCCTTCAGATTTTCAGGTAATAATCATAATGTGTGATTCTGTCAACTACAATAAACTACTCCAGGTGCTGAAGCAGTACAGCAGCCCACTACACTACTTGTGCCATATTTGATGGTCTTCATAGTTCTCCTTTCTAAAAAGCTTACTTTAGTTTTAAACCACGTATGTTTTTTTGTTTTTTTAAGTCTTTGTTTTTCTAAAAGTTTCATTGATTTTTATACATTCCAGCAGGGGATTTAAATTGGAACCTTTCCATAGGTGCCTGATCATTTTCTCACTGTTGATTGATTGATGATTGATTTTAAGTTTGTTGATCCACAGAAGGGTCGACTTTACTTGTCCAAACTTTACCAACAACAATGAAAACAATATGAACCAAATAAGTCTTTTAGATTAATAAGTCTTTATTACTCAATAGAATTAATTAAAATTATGGTTATCTAAGATGCACAGTTCTGGAGGCTACATATAGATTATAAATTTTGAAAGCTTCAGGTCTTATTGCACTCCCACATTGCGGCTCCACCAATCTTCAGCTGAGGCTGCCTCTAAGGATTTCTAGAGTACTTTACAAGGGATGAGAGACTTGTTCTCGATTGTTCTGATCTTCACCAGCAGTTGGTCTCATTTTACCTCTTTTATTGAAGTTATCCTGGTCCCTGCAACAAATAGCCTTTTTATACATTTTTTTTTTTTAATCCCTTACCTCTTTTTCCAGATCCCAACATAGAACTGCAAGTTAAACGCGATCCAAAATGGCTGCGCCTGTAGGGAGCGGCTTGATACAGCTCTTAACAACGGCTTATGCCGCTTAGAACGCTACAAACTAGGCATTAATCCTGAATCTTTATGAAATCGTTTATTTCACTGCTAAGCTGCTGCTCATTCAATGTCTGAAAGCTTTACAAAACAACAATAAAAGTTGTCTAAGTCTAAATGGAACTAGCCATTGACTTTTGATAGAATATCTGTAACATATTATTAAATTACCCAAACTTGTGGGGAAAGTCTGCTTGTGTCCTCTTTCTTAAGAACCTCAATGTTTGTAGTCCAGTGCATCTCACAGTAAAGGGTAATACTGAGGTATTTATAGGAGGCAACTTGCTCCTAATCTGCTCTAGACATGAAGATCACTGGCAGAGATGTCTTCATTGGAATGAAATTGGCATTCCTCTGGCTTCTCCATGTTTTGCTGTAAATATTCACGGCAATATCATCTACCAAGTTGTCCACCAGTTTGCTGTACGCTTACTCTTCCTTTCGATAAAACATGCCACTATACTGGGTATAGTCATCTGGCTACTTTTGAAGATGTCACAAAGTCCAACTTGTAGGTAGTGAACAGGAGGGAAGATAGCACAGTTACATGGGGGCCTCCAATATTGCATATCAGACGATCAGACAGTTATGTACCTTCATGAACTACAATCTACCCATCAGCTAGTCAGAGATCCAGGTAATGAGTGATGCAGACCACATTCCTTTTTCAGCTCTTCCCTTAACAGTCCAAGGTGGATACAAGTGGAGGTAATTAATCATGAACACTGACCCTAACAGAGTGGTTAGGCTTTCAGTGTTTTAGATGTTACTTTGTTTTGTGGCCTCCTGGATGACAGCTACATGTTTCTCTATTTGTGGACAATGGCTTTCAATGCGCTTCTTTGCTGTCCCAAAAGCCTCAGGACAAACATCTGTAAATCTTGTTTCACATTTATTCCAGAATTCCTTTAGATTGGATCATAATGTGCAGCCATTTGACAGATTTTAGCCTTCATTCTTCATATATCAGGAATAAAAAGATATGATTTATGAACAGGGATTTTTCATTTTTGTTGGGGGGGGGGTGTATACATTTTGATTGTTATAAAGAGGCCAGCTGGGGCTGTAATAAAATTTTGTTTTACAGCAACTTAGGTTGTCTATGTCTTACATTACTGTAAGGTTCTAAAACATTTAGAAAAGGCAATACAGTGAAAGCAAAATCTGAAGCAATCAGTCTAGGGACATCTACTTTTACCAACTTTGTAGTGACCAACTCTATCTGTCTTACGATGTCCCTGGAACAAACTGGTTGATTCAAAGAAAATGAATTCTGTATTTGCACATAAAAATGTCTCCTTATGTTCTTCAATGAGGACCATGGGTGTGGTCTACAGTCACAAGTAAACCTCTAGTCTTTTTGAGCAACACTATTATTTCTGTACCCCCTCTTTTTATGTGGCCGTTTTAACAGTTGGCCTGTGATTCTCACAGCTCTACCAGCTGTAATGGTTGCCTCTAGGAAGTGTGAAACAAGGTCTTGGCTTTTCACTACGAATGCATGCTTCTTTCTGTGCTCACAGTTAAAGTTACAATTGGACCATAAAGTGTTTTTTTTTTTCTCCCTTCAACAGACTCTAAAGAAATGGATGGGAGGCAGCTGAGAAATGAACATGTGAGTATCTGTTTCTGTCTAATTAAATCCATAGAACAGCCTCAAGCCTGCCTTTGCCAAGACTGGATTCAGACAGTTTGAGCTTTAACATAGCTGCCTTCTGTGGTTGCACACTGCCACCTATTGTTCAAAGCGCCCCTCATGCCTCTGAAGCCATTGTCTTCTTCTTCCTTGATTGCTGAAAAGACAAGTTAGCTGGTAATAGATAACTGATGATAGTGACATCAGTCATCTCTTTTAAGATCACATGTCTCTTTTGAAGGCTTCTTTATTACTATTTGTACAACACATTGACTACCTCTAATGGCACAAATCATCTGAGCAGGAGAGTAATGCAACCCTAGCTCTTATGTGTTATCACTGTGAAATGTGTTTTCTTAGTGTGGGATTCTGTAAAGGCCCATTTGTTGTTGTTGCTCTCGAGAACAAAGCAAAAAGAAAAGAAGTGGCAGCTGGAGGAGCAATTTTTGTCCATCAAGGGCTATTGAGAGTTCAATTATTTATCTTGTGAAGTGTTCCAAGGATGTGGTCAGCTCATCAGGGTTATAATGCACGGAGTGAGAGGACATGTGCACGGCGCACAGGGAGGAGGATGTTGTTGTAGTCTGAAAAAAAGTGAGCTAAAGCTTGTTTCCAGATACCAGCACTCCCACGCTCTCTGCGGCTAATGAGGAAGTCTTTAGGAATGGACATTGTTCATATCTTTGCTACAGAGGAGGACAAAAACTGTGAATCTTAAACACTTGTCAACTTCAAAATGACAATAACTCATGTAGATAGCAAAGATTTCCTTCTTTTCTTTCATGTTTCCTCTTTTGCAAGTCTACATTGTGAACATCTAAGGCAACAGATCGTTTGCACTCAAATCTCATGACATTCTGGCGATTATTTGTTCTTTTTTCTCTTTAAAAAAGGCATTTTGATTGCAAAAGGCTTGAATTTGTAATAAAAATGCATTTTATCATGTAAGATAGAAAAGAACAAAGTAATTTGGCATATTAGCTTAATATCAAAGTGATTCTTTTTTGAAGAACAACAACTCTGGCGGTTTTAAAAGAGGGCTTGCTTCGCTCACTGCTGTCGTGATAAACTGATAAAGATGTTGATGTGGTGTCTGAAAATATTTGGATGAGGAATAATTAATATCTCAAAGTATTCCATTGACTCAAATAACGTGATTAGTTTATCTTTAATAACAAATTATTTTTTTTATAAATGTCTGCAGTTAGAGTTTGTCTTATGGTGGAAAGTTAAAGTTTGATAATGAGTTTTTATTTAAAAGCTTGTAATGACACAAATGCACTGTCACACATATCTTTTATTTGTATTATACCTTTGAACCTATATCACACCACTGTAATTTGAAAGTCATTTACTAAAAAGCCAATTATTGTTTAAACGTGGTGGTGGGTAGAGGCAGTGTAGCATCACTGATCTTTCCCTATGAATCCCTATTGAAAACGAGACGTATAACATTTTCATCAAAGAGTAGTATACTGTTAAATGCTACATTACTTTTGCTTTTTGCTCAAAGGTTTAGTATTATAGTTATTATAGTTACTCCAGTCTTCAATTCCTTTGTAAATGATAATTTGGGTTCTTGCTTTTTATTGTTACCACCTAATGGTTGCCTGAGAAGGATTTTAATGGTCAAAACATGGTAATCCAATAAATGACTATGATGTTGTAGAAATTGGAGTTATTTGTAGGTTCTGTTCACACTAAGCCGGGTTTAGGTTCATCCGACAAACTTAATGGTCAGGTAGGGGTCTTTTCTAGATAAAGTTGCAATGAAACTAAAAGTATTCAAAACACATTCCACAGGAGGGACTGTCTGAAGCTATGGCAGCTTCGTTTAAACAGGTCCGCAATGCTTAAGAAGGTAAGAACTGGCAGGTTTCAGCATAAAGTAGAACTTGCCTTTCCATCAACCAACATGGACTAACTCAAACAACAACAATGCCGCAGTTCAGGGATGCACCTGTTTTTCAAAAACTATAAATTTCATTGTGGATTTTATTCCAACGCATTTTGCTCCTGTACAGTATATGTGTGAACAACTTTGTATTCAGTCCACACATACTCCTCCATTCTAACTCCTTGTTTTGTTGTACTTCATTTAATTCTGTGGCAGCATTACTCCAGCAGCCACTGACTGGGCATAAGTACTTTCTCTGCCTTTGTCCAATTATATATGGAACTCAAAGTACTTTGTAAAGGTCCATGGTGGCTCCATGGGGGATCCCCAATGCTCCATGTGAGTCTGCTTTGTGTTTTTCCCTCTTGGATTATCTATTAGTTTAAACTATCTAATCTGGAGCTACACTAGATTAAAATACAATTACCTTGTATAGGAAGAATGTTAACTATTTATAACAATTTAACATGCCTCTCTTCAGAAACCCCCAAATATCCTTTTAGGATATTTTATATGGTGAGCCTTAGAAAAATAATTGCTTTTCAAAAGCTAGAGAGAACGGACACGTTTAAAAATAACTGATATATCAAAATCCTCAATGACATTTGACTTGTTATTATTTTATGTCAAGTCCACCAGACCTTTGGGTGTTTACATAAACATATAAAAAGCTACTTTAAACCCCCTATAAGAAATATGTAATACTAAGAAAAATACAAAAAAACTAAACTAACACCAAACCTCACCACAGAAGGCATAAAACTATATTCCTAAAAGGAAAAAAAGAATAAAAGAACATGACTCAAAAACTTAAAGTTAAATTCAGAAGAATTGATGGCAAGTAAAATCCATCATTTGTTTCCACAGGAAAGAAAATGGTCCACTTTCAGAATTTCTGCTAATGTTCATCCATTTTTCCCAGTCAAATGGACTCAGGAGAAGTGACTGATTCTGCAACGAACCTAATAATCCAAACCCTGGGTAGTGCCAATCGCGCAGTTTCCAGCGTGCGTATGTTAACACCATTAAATCAACTCAAAATGTCTGTATGATTCAATTTTTTTCCACAACGGACGATGACTGAATTGAATTTCCCCAAAGTGGCTGTCTATTTCCTGTCTGTGTGTGACGAGTGGCCGAGGTTGCTGGGGGAATTCAGACTCACTTTCCCATTCATTTAACTCCATTTAGTCCAAAGTCTGCAGCAATCCATTAAAAATATATTATTTCACGTGAGAATGAGGCACAAATACTTTCTATTCTTTAAACATATTTTTTGGGGCCAAATATACATGCTGCATATGTTGAATGATGCTTTTAAACACATCCTGAGCCCAAATTCCAGCTTTGCAGCCAAAAGATGCTGCGGCCTTGCACAAGCCTGTCAGTGGCACTCAATAGCATTGCTGCTCTTAGTGGCCGTGACTCTGTGACCTGCTTTCCCGCTCCATGGTGAATAGCTGCTGGCACCTCTCTCCAGCCTGTCTGCTAGAAGTTTAAAGGGATAAAACATTTTTGTTGGTGCCATTACATTTTTGCTTTGATTATGTTATTATTCTATATGCTCTGTCTACCCAGCTTTGAACATTCTGACAATGCCCACCGGGTCTTTCACAAAAACAACAACAAAAAAAAGCCATCCTCTTCTGTTATTCTCAAAGGCTGTTTGCATGGTTCTTGCAGGAATCTATGAAATGCGGAGGAAATATAAGAACAGCATTCACTACTAAAGAAAAAAGAATTCATGTGGCATTTTATACATCAATAGCCAAAGGTGCTGAAAATAAAAGAAACATAAAGCTGTGTCAGTTTAAAGCACTAATATTTCAATGCCCTGCTTTTATTACTCCTGTTTTATTCAGAAATATGAGCTATTTAATCAATACCAGAGAAAATCTTCTTTGAAAAAGGAGTGCAGCTGCTGCAGACAAGCAGAGACAGATGATGTTCACATATCCATATTCCCTCTAACATCCTGGGCCTGTTTTGCTACCCACTTAATCCTCCGCATTTTAAAACCGTGTTTGAAATAAACGGGCTAAAGGGAATAGAAAACCTAAGAGCTGAGCAGACACGGAGAGCTCTACAGGCTTGATTGGCAGGTTTTTGTCAGCAGGTCTCTTCCAGTAAGAGGCACCTGCCTTTCAGTCCTTCTGGGAGCCCCCCACCCCCACTACAAATTGTGGCGCAAAAGCATTGTCTTAATTATCCACCACCAAAACCCTTCCACATTCAACCACATCTCACTAAGAATGGAAAAAAAAAACCAACACAATTAACGGTAAGCGTTTAGCAGAGAGAGATTATTTACTGGGGCCAATCCAATGGAGACAGATGCTGAGTAGTCCTGAGAGATGAGCATATCCATCAGCTCGCAGATCAGCAATCCAATTAAGTTAGAAGTCCTATAGGTGGTCAGCGTTGACCTTTGATTTATCTTACTGTGATTTTGTATGTTTGTGGCTGCAAAATATACAAGGATCAACATCATCCAATAAATAACAGAGACTAATGGCAAAAGGCTTTTGAGGTGGCAGACATTGCACATGTCTCCCCCTACAGAACACATGAAGCTCTACATAGGATGTTGTAGAACTAATCCAGACATGGCCGTCCACTGAGACTAACAATTCAGATAAGGAGAGGGATAATCAGAAGAATTGCCAGGAGGCCCAGCTCTGGAGGAGCTACACAGATGTGCAGCTTTGGTGAGAGAATCTATTGGCAGGGCAACTACCAAGACTGTTGCTTATGATATATTGGGGAGGGGAAAAGCCTGGGTTAAAATAAAGCAATTAATGAGTTTACATACTGCAGTCCCCCATAACTCATGTAGAGGAACAGCTTTAGGCTCAAACACAAATGCAAACAAGGGACAAAAACCTAACAGCACAGTTCTTCCTCAACACATCATCTCTGTAACAAGACAGAGTTGGTGGAAGCATAATTTCTCTCAAAAACCAAAGCAGAATTCCAGAGAGATAAATTATTCACATTCAAAGCAGCATATCTATCTTTCCTGTATTTCTTTGAAACAAGTGTTGTTCTTGTTTTCTGTCTCAGCTAATGATCCAACTACAATATAGTGGCCAATTCCTTAAGCCGCTGACTGAGGTTATTTTCTGGCAGTGTACATAGCAAAATAGATACTATATTCTGGGCTTCATGAGGACATCCATGAGTAAAAAACCCTAACGGACTCCTCTGGCTGGGTACGGACGACCAAAAACATGTGTTGTACTGCTAAGGAGACATTTGGGCAGACTAGAAACCATTTGTTTGTTCTGTTTCAGAATGCACAGCCAGAGCTACAATCAAAGATTCCCAGGATTGAGATTGGGACCCAACTTGAATTAGTGGATAAACAGTTACGGGGTCTTGTTATCCTCTACAGAAATTGAAGCAAGCAAACAAAAAAGTGTTTAAGGTCACACAAACATCACTTAGAAGTGGACATAACCGCATATATCAATTACCAATGCTGTTTATATTACCTTTGCACCCACAGTTAACTGAATTTGTAGTAACTAATTGAGAATTGTGTGGATGGATGCAAAAGGTGGTCTAAATACTTTAGCAAGGCAGTGTAACTACTGTTGTTTAAACTAGGTGATTTTTTTTTTTTACCAGAGAAGAAATAGGAGGATGTGTCTACAAGATTCCTGTGATCCCTATAGTATACTGACTTCACTGTAGACCCTCCAGGCTGAGGTATAAAAAAATTCTGCAATTCAAAGAGCAGGGCTTTACTTGGAGAGGCACACCAAATGAGAGTCTGGGAGTTGGGTCCCCAGGTCAGCTAGCAGGTGGGAATGAGATGAAACAGAGCGGAGTGGAAAAAAAGGGAGAGAAAGAAAACAGGATGGCAGTGTGTGGACTTCACATCTGGCCTGAATTAGAAAAGTAATACAGCGGGCCCAGAGAAGTGTTTGAGGATTTGGGAGTCAAGATCGCCTTTCTTCAGCAGGTTAGTATGTCAGCAGGGAATCCAGATGAGAACGATTAGAATTGCCCTTTGAGGAGCAGGTGCCTCCTTCACCTCTTCTCTTTAGTGCTGAATGGACGCTCATTAATCTTACATTGTCATAAGGCATTTAAGTAGATGATACTTTATGAGCTTGTCATAACTCCCCCCTCCCCCATATTTGGTTTGTTTCAGACGCAGACTTTCCTATGTGTAGGCCATTATGAGGCTGTGCTTCATTACATTCAACAAGCCTTGAAGTTGGCGCACTGTGATGATGGAAAGAGGGAAAACAGGGTTTCTTAATCATTGTAAGTGGATTACCTCACCTACATTACATCATGGCAGATTCTGCGAACACAAGATGTGAGAATATAACAAGGAGAATATCATGTGGCGTTGACAATGCCAGGCCCTTCACTTCCAGGAGAAACATCCATCGGCAAAGTCCCACAAGAAGCCAAGACAATGTCTCCTAAAACTCTCAGAATTCCCCCTTTGTCCCTATCATACTCTCCCACCCAGCCCGCTTGGCATAACAAAGACAGGCAAGTTTGGGAATTGATTCAGCGCTACATTAAGTAATCGAGTAATCATTTACAGTGTTTTTAGAGGGAACATATCAAACAGGCATTGATGTCACTATGAGGAGAGTGGGGCTGTTTGGGTGCGATGGGACCCTCTGTCTGACTTGGAAACCGCATGCTGTAGTCAGGCTGTCGGATGTCTCCTGGAGCGATACAACGGAGTGGAAGATCTCTTTCAAGGCGCCATTTCCACCTCATTTATTTGCAGTTCATCACAATTTTGAACTCTGAAACAATTCATTCAGTCAACAGGATTAATTCAAAAGAGCAAAATGTGTATATGCTTGCAGGCAAGAGGAAAGAGCAGCTGTAAACACAGACTGCATGAGAACTGCAGCGTAGGTGTTGGTCACTGTTACACGGCTTTTAACTGACAACAATTCCATTTTAAAAATCCAAGACCCTATATTCACATTAGGATTTACTTTATTTAAATGATACTTTCCCCCTATAAAATGCACATATGCAAAAATGAAACTTTTTGTGTTTTGCATTTAAAAAAAAAGAATCAAAGTCTGTATAGTGTGCAGCTAAGTCAAACCTCACAGTCATGGCAAAAACAAAGAGAGGGAAAAAAAAATAAAAGTCAAAGGCATCCTTGTTCATCAAGCTCTACAGACTTGCCTCAAGTGCATAGTTCACATTCGGGGGCATGAAAGAAGGAAAAATTGGATTCTTGCACTGATTGTTGTTAAAAGCAAAACAAAAAAACAAAACAAAATACAAGATCGGTGCTCTTTCAAAAAATGCCAACATTTTTAAGTGTTCCTCTTGTAAAAAAAAAAAAAAAAAAAAAAAAAAAAAAAAACATTTTTGTAATCTACAAACACAAATACACACAATTTCAATGAGAAATATTTTATAAACCACAGATTTGTGTTTGCAAAACACTTGACACGACTAGGCCCATTATCACTCAACAAAATAGTGAAAAATAAATAGATAAATAAAATTCTGGTCTGGAACTTATTCAGACGATGAAATTAAATCAACTTTTTCAAGTATTTTTCATTAACTTTCCGCAGCACAAAACCTTTGTCTGACAGGAATGCATTCCTCTTCTCTCCAAGCAGGTTTGGGATGAAGGTGTGGGTAGCAGCAGATCAGTAATGATTTACAAATAATAAGTGGAGGAATGAACAAATCAATAAATCAGTAGATCTCTGGATATTCGGTGAGGCAACCTTATTTCTTTATTTATCCGAGTGTTTTATTTGTTTTTGCCTCTCCAAGGCAGGAGCAGGAATCCCAAATTATCCAGGGGGTTAGGGGGCACTGTGCCCCTGAGCCCCGAGCCCCATAGCGGAGGTAACGTATTCAACGGCCTGGGGCTAGTGGAGGAGAGGAGTAGTCCTGCTGCATACTGATGGCAAAGAGAGGAGCCAGTAATTGGAGCTGTAGAGAAGAAGGGGAGAGGAGGGGAGGGGAGAAAAGTGCGAGGAGATGATGGCTTTGTTTTTCCCTCCCTTCCAGTCTGCGTGGCTCAAACTCCTCCTCCCAGACCTTGCTCTTTCCCTTAAACTTGCTAAGTAGAGATATGGAGAAATTGAATAGAAATAGTTGCTAATTGGTCTCTTGCTGCTTGCCTAAATGACCATGGACATTCTTTTTCATTTGTCTATTGAAACTAATAAACTATGTCTTTCTCCCCAAGTGTGTGTGTGTGGGTGTGTGTGCTGCTGTGTGTGGTTGCGTGTGCACGCCTCTGAATATGTGTGTAGTAATTGAGGGTCTATAAAAAGCACTGTGTTGTTCACCAAGAGAAAAAGAGAAAGGTGTGAAGGGCTTCTATTACAGGGGTTTTAAGTGTGGTTGTTATTAAGATAGAGAGAAGAGGCTGATCTTCCCAAAATGCATATGTCCTCTAAAAACAAGACAAGTTCATTTATAATATATCAAAGCTGACAAGGTCATTCACTGAATTATGTCTATAACAATGATCATTACAACCTAAATGTTTTAAAGCGCAGTATTTAAAGAAAAACTATTGTAATCAGATCCCATACGGGTACATTTTGAGAATCATGATAAACTGTTTATTTTCTGAAAGAATTCAAGCCTATCATTTTTGTTGTTCGTTAACCCTCGAGATGACAGGCACATATAATGTTTTCTACAGTTATTATGATTGATGTATAATATGCAAGAAAAATAAAATATCTAATGAACAATACATGTGAGGTGTCAATTTTTTTTTTATTCTAGTAAAAAGTGTCTTGGAAAAGTTTTCATTTACATTTCTTTTCTCCATTCTGGCTCCATACAAACTTCAATGGATTCAATTAGGAGTTCCTCTAAGAGACTACAATAAGTGTATGTGTGAATACAGTATACAGTATGTGTGAAATTAAAATAACATGAAATCTGCTTTTTAAACGTTTTTGTCATATACATTTCATCAAACTATAGCATTTTTTCAGACTCCTTTTCTTTAAAACCCCAAAACAGAATCTATATGAGGCCCAAATCAAACATCCACAAAACACTCCTATCATAAATCCATCAGTGGCATTTCATGCTGTGAGGATGACTGTCTTCTGCGGTGCAGGGAAGCTGGTTATAGTGAATAGAAGGATAAAATAGACTTAGCCTAAAAAAACGTTGAGCTCCTTCTGTAGGAAAAACTAAGCGTAGAGGCTATGCATTGTTGTCGTAGTTAAATTTTAAAGCTATTTTCTGCAGCCCTAGCACTTCTCTCTCACCTACCCTCTTTCCTGTCAAAATACTATTTAGTAATTTAGTAATATAAAAGTGTCATGAAATCTTGTGTGTGTTGAGACTCATTATGTGTCTTGTTTGAATAATGAAAATAACCTTGAGAGATAAATTTAAAACTAGTCTTAGGTATTTGATGACCAATAGAAAGGGTATTAACTTTGCTTGTCTTATATTCAAAAACATTTCTTTTATATTTTTCTTTTCTGCATATAAAGCAAGTTCTAGATGGCATAACTCTTCTTGTCCTCTTTCAAAGGCATGTCAGAGATACTAGAAAGCCGTCGCTAGTCTACGCAAGTTTTGATCACTCAATTAAAGTTTGAACAAAAATCGGGAAGAACTTTGGAATGCTCTGTTCAAACATGAAATAATAATGGACCAATAGGTGAATTTTTGATAACTTTAAAGCATACAACATCCAAAGGAAAAAAAATTATGCGATCTCAAACCAAATTAATCTGAACAAATATTTATAATAACGATCAAAAAATGTACACAATGTTTTTTGCAGATGAGATAAAAGCACCAGTGCTTGCCACCTCTCCTTTTATATTGACCATCGAAACTGTGTTAGGAAATTTTCCAAAACATCTAGTTCTGTGCTTATTCTTACAATAATAACAATGAAACCATCACCTACTTTTGTGGTCCCTCATGTTTCTGCATCATAAACCGTTAAACCTCATAATCAAAAAGAAATGAGATGGGAGTGAATATGTAGCCCAAATACTTTTGGCACTGTATCATCACTGGTTCTTGTGCTGATGCAATTAAATGATATGCTATAGCTACAAGAGGCAAGTGGCCAGGAAAGAGAAAAAGGAGAAATTAGAACGTTGGGGGACATGTTTTAGTCTGCCCATCATATGTTTGGAGCCCACAGTTCAGTAGATGGACAGAAGCAAGAGGAGCTTTCATTTCCTGTCAAAGAGGAGCTGGGAGAAGCTTTCCAAGGCATCAGTCGCAGGCTAATTAGGCCCCGGTGGGTGACAGTGCATCATCATAAATAAAACAAACACAGTTGTGGTGTTCCTGCCACTGGACTCTTTAAACCTTCATCACAGAGTAAGCGGTTCCGATGAAACACCCAGCCTAATTACTCTGGTGCAGGGCTGTTATCTTTTCTGCCTGGCTGTAATTGATCCTTTTTTTTTTACCCCCTGAATGCATTTATGCTTTTAATCAGAAACAAGAGTGAATGTGATGCCTGGGAGCCTGCAGACCTTGCAGGAGCCGATAATTAGCCGCTGTGGTTAATGGGCCTGACTGTGCTTATGTTGTACATGGCTCTGTGGTGTCGTAACGCGACAGAGCTTGGAGGAGGCAGTGCTCGGGGGTGACATATTTGTGATTAGTCTCCTCACTTTGCCCTTGCCCTCCTCACACCTTAGCTTTGGAGATAGCAGTGCAAAACCTATGTTGTGTAAAATGTGATATATAAGAGTGAACTCTTTTAATCAAATGTAAATCTGTGAATGATCCATGACCGACATTGTTCTTTAGCTAACAAAAACAACTAAAACTTATAAGAACAACACTCTGCTTCACCTAGATCTCTGTGGTAAGACATGTAAAAGATGAATCAATACAGTAAATAATATATCAGCCTAATAAAATTGCAAAAATATTTATATGAGATTAGGAATTAAGTGACAGACACTCACAAAGTTGACAATAGTGAAACATTTCAGAGTATAAAATAGTAATAAAATAAAAAGTTCGGTGTGCATTTAACTCCAGTCTGCCATTGCCAAGAAAAAGCCTTCCCATATCATCATATTGCCACTACTTTGTTTGCAATGTGACAAAGTTTATAAAGTGTATTACTACTCTGCCTCCACACATTCTTTGCACAGAGGCAACAAATACATTTTGGTCTCATCTGATCCTCTTTTTCCACATGTGCTGCCTCAATATTAATGTGAGGAATGCAAACAATGCTTAAAGCTTTATTTTAACAATTGTTCTTTTTTTCACCACTTCCATAATGCCCAGTATTTTTTGGGCATTATGGAAGTGGTAGTTGTCAGCAGTTGTAGATCCTCTAGAGTTAGTATGGACTTTTTAACTGCTTTTCCAGGGAATGTGATTCTTGCTTAGCCTGTCAGTTCAGTTTCGTGGGGATGTCTTATAGGTTTGCAGTTTTGTCGTACTAATTCCTGTTTTCATATTACAGATGAAACAGAGCTAATTCTTTAAACTTTTGTGCATTTTTTCTCCCTGATCTGGCTCTTATCTTCATTAATCTGTACTTCAATGACGTTCTCTAATAAACCTCTGAGGCCTTCATAGAGCAGCTGTCATTATCTGTAGATGAATGGAAAAACACATGGATCCTTTTATTCATCGGGTAATTTAGGAAAACAGTTTGCCACGCTCTACTTTGGTCTTAAAAGAGGCTAAACTAATATCCACTCCTCTCACTTTTATTTTTAAATAGCATGTTAAAAATTTGGCTTTTTACTTCAATTTACTTCACAAATGTGTACTTTTTTGGAAGGAGTTATCACCTTTAATCACTATAAAATATCGTGAAGGTTGAAATATGTAATATGTTAGAATATGAAAAGGTTCAAGTGAAAAATTTAGCAAAAGACTCAAAATACTGTACATATCTGAAATTCATATTGCATGTCACAGTAGGTAGCCACTTGAATGCAACGCTAAAGGATTGTTCAGGATTTCAGTTTGTAATTCAGCCAGTGGACCCATTCTTGGGACCCAATATCCATATTCATCCCAGACAAATACTGTATAATGTGTCAAATAGAGGTGTCCTAATTGCGTCCTTTGATGAAAGCCTCCTAATTCTGAACACTTTAACATTCCCATGTGTGTTCTGTCACAGAGGAAAAATGTTTTTCCTTTTTTTTTTTTTCAACAGGACAAAAAAAATAAAAACGCAGGGCTGTTCGTATCTCTAATGATACCTAAT